CAAGGAACTCCTCTGCACAGACCATGCTTTGGGCCCTGCTTCGCCTAGGCCATCTACCAGTGAGCAGGTGCGCGCTTCATTGTGTATATATATATATATGAACTCCAGAATAGAAAGAACGATGTAGAACAGGGTGTTGGCCATCCAAGCATCAGCGCTCTCCCAAGCACAAAAAATCACAGTCACCCACTTGCAATCACCTACTTGCCACCAGCTGTCCGACCAAAAATTCAGCCATGCATGCCGTACATAAAACAAATGCCTGGCTTGTCATATGATACTTGGCTCGTGTCCTTTTCAAACATTCTTTCGTTGGGACAGCTCTGCTGAAGCCCTGGTGGCCCTAGCATTATATTGTGCTTGGGCGGTCTGGATCACACGGAGAAAGACTCTTCACCCAGGAACTCCTCAGCAAAAAGCATGCTTTGCGCCCGGCTTCGCCTTCGCCTTGGCCCAGCTTTGCCCTCTCATCGGAATGTGAATATATATGCGGAGCTTACTTATTTTTTTGTGAACTTTCCGGTCACCCTCATCCGATCTCATCCATATGCGGAGCGGATGCATGAGACCCGGATCCCCAGTTGAACCCAAAATCAGCGGACAGGATTGCCCGTACATGAATGGTAAATTACTACCATGGTTGGGGCGTCCGTATAATGTAATGCTGTGACAACATACCTATATAATCCCCAGCAATCCACCATCATTCTAAAGCCCTGCGAAATAGGTGTCACGTGCGGATACCAATCAAAGTCTCGGACGTCCAGATCACGTTCTTCTGCAACAGGATGTTGTGTCCCCTTTAAAACAAGAACCTATATTATATACTTGTTTTGCTATCTCTTGCACGTGTAACCCACCAGTTTCTTGGGGATGTGAATTAAACAATTACACCACCGGGTCCAACTCTACAAAGGGAAGGGAGGGAATATACATTTATTGAAATGTTTGGAGCTACGGGGACAGGTGTCTGCGATTTTTTCGAGCTGGGGAGGTTTAACAGCAAAAATGATGTTTTCATATAGACATGTCAAACAATTATTAAATATTCAAAAATAGTATATTCAAATAGTTCTTTATGTTGCTTTCTTCGGTGTTTCTGGAAACACTGGTTCCAGGATACGTCTGAAAAGTCGGGAAGACATCAAGGCCCTAATTGTATGCATAGGAAAAAAAGTGCGAAACAGAGGGGGGAGAGACTGGTCAAGGTTCGACGCCACATGTATGCACACCACGGGGAGACTACAAGGGTTTGTGGGGGAACTGGGGGTTTTGAGATTTTGTGTTTTTTGCGTTTGGCAGAACCGCTCTACATGATCCAGCATGCACGCAAGGGGGCGGAGCACATCCAAAAACATCATATCGTCAGCCAGAATAAAAAGAACCTGTCAATTTGCAATTTCTACAGCGATGGAAAAATGCCTTGAAAGTTACGGTTCTCCTGCACCCAGGGCTACATTCATGCCTCTCAAGATCTTCAGGCGCAGGGGATCGGAGCGGTTTGATTTAGATGTGCGGGTTTCTTGGCAGGCGCATGCATTCGCAGCATTTGGGACATAGTGGTGGTCTTTGGCCGGCTCTGAATTCGTGGCAGGTGCAATGAACCCTTAATTTTGGACTTCAGAATTCAGGAGATGTCTCGTGTGAAAGCTGCGTGATGTTGTCTTTGGAAATGATTTTTGCTGCGAAACGCATCGGCAGGGCTGCGATGTGAATCTTGATGTGCAGATTTCGTTGCAGACACGGCATTTTGAGAACTTCCTGGCAGGCGCGACTTTGAAGTGCAGATTTGGCGGCAGGCGCAGCACTTTGTGAACCTCGCGGGCCAGGTTTTGTGTAGGCGCAGCACTCTGTGAACCTTGGCGTGCAAATTTTGTGGTACACGCAGCATTTTGTGAACCTTAAAGTGCAGATTTCATGGCAAGTGCAGCACTTTGTGAACCTCGATGGTCGGCGCAGCACTTTGTGAACCTCGAAGTGGAGATTACGTGGCGCGCTCTCATATGCGTGCTCTGATGTGCGTGCTCTCACTCATATGTGTGGTGTCTGGGCCTCCAGACCTCTAGATCTCTAGATCTCTCTGGAGCAATACGTCTAGATCTCTAGACCTTACCTTCTGCTTAGACCTCAAGATCTCTGACATGAAACTCTGAACAAATTCGAGTGGTTCTCTCGCGCAGTTCTCATGCAACGGGGGCGGGGGACATCCGTAATATCATCAGCCAGGCATGAAATCAGGAGACGAGGAAATGTATACGTTTGTGGGGTTATGCATCTAAACAATGTGTTTGGTGCCTATGTCTGCGGTCGGATGCTGTCAAAGAACTCTTCAGCGAAAAGCATGCTTTGCGCCCTGCTCCGTCGTCGCCTCGGTAAAGCTTGACTAAACCCATAGTGGAACATACCTCTCTGCAAGTGGCTATTCTTGGAGAGCGTCACCGGCGTGACACATCTGTGGGGAAGCTCATGTCTTCTCTTTTCATACCCCTCTGTAATATCCTTGGTCCCTGAGTGTTGGGGAATTGAAGACTTTGGGCGTTGCACCCCAAAAAGATAGATACGTAATTACGTATGATTCAACGTATGGTATTGCCTGATGATAAGCGGCTGCAAGTTATATAACACGAAATGCGTTGTTCCTATACGAGTCACGTTTGGCGGTGTCCGGCTGTGTCCCCCATTTGTCCACGGCCCAGCCAGACTCGGCCAACCAAGTTCCCAAGACTCGGCCAAGACACTCCTCTGCAAAAAGCATGCTTTGTGCCCTACTTCGCCTTCGCCTCGGGGATTGCGCATCTGCATAGCGCCACTGGCAGAATTCACAGGTGCAGGTCTCCTGTGTACAGTGCCACATAATTGGTAATCCTGCATGCCTGAAGTATCTGTGGATAAACTGCCCCTTGAAATGTATAATTAAGATGTCATGTACAGTAGAAGTTTTGACATCGTTATAGTGAGTTGTCCTTTCACGAATGGCCAAACCAAATAGCCACATCACTGCCTGACTCTGCTACAACCGAGCCAGTTTTTCAGTACTGAACCCGAGTCTAGTGCGCCAGCCCTGAGGGCCAGAGCCCTGATGCTTATGGATGCACATAAATCTGTTCAAATGTGGCTTGCTGTACAAAACCATCTGGCAAATGTTTCCAAGATGGATATGTACCGTGGTCAAATCATCAAACTTGAATAAGCCAGAGCTCTCGCACACCCAGCCAAGAAACTCGTCTGCGAACAGCATACTGTAAGCCCTGTTGCGCCTGAGCAGCTTTATGCTGGATCTAGAATTGAAGGAGCTGACGGATCATATTGGAGACATGTTATATAAGCAAAGCAGTGGAAATCTTTGTTCGCTGCAAAGGTGCCTCCATATGCTTCAATATTCCATCTATGTACTGAAAGACTGACAGTCGTACTATTCCAGGTTGTCAGCCAAGAAGCTCTTCTGCAAAGAGCATGCTGAATGCACGGCTCCTCCTGCAATGTCAACAGGCTCAGCCCTTTGAAGGGGAATAGGGTGAACTGTAGACATGGAGGACCAAGGGCAGAAGGATTGTTTTAATTGCCAAAGTATCTAAAATCCGGATGAATCAAGGGACTTCAAGGCAGGCCCTGTCCACTCCCAGTCAGCAGAAGACTTTTCTCTTGGCCTTCGCTCTTTTGAAGCTTCATCTTCGACCACCATGCTGTAAGCCTTCTCTCTCCTCCACAGCGTGTCACTGGCCGTGCAAAACAAGATACAAACATCAAGTCACCAGCTTCGAGACAGAACTTGGACACTGATTTGACGCGAAAGAAGCACCCCTACGGGTTTGAGGTCGTAGTGTCAGGTCTACACTGCTGCCAAGACATAAACCATCTTTGATTTGCTCTGAGATTTGTGGAAACATGTTGGATTCAATTGGATCCAGGTTGGATCTGGGTGTACTTCATTGGATTAATCGGCAGTATCTTGATGTCCTGGCATTGGCATCATAGATCTCAGAGATGGCTTCTGAGGTCTCCTCGCTGGTCGTCACGGACCTCAGAGATGGCTGGACCTATAATCTCAAGATACAGCAGCTGGCAGCTAAACACGGAGACAACACAAGCCCAGATTGTTTGGGGGGGTCTTCTGTACATGATGGATAACAGACTTCAGGGTGTGTGCCCAAGAGAACACCCAAAACAATATCTATATAATTACTGTATTAGGACATCGTGTCCCATAGTCAATGTGTTGTTTTTGGATATGATGTGTCACCCAACCAACACAGTGTGGCATCAATGAGTTGGTCCTGTTTTTTCTCAATAAAATTGAAAAATGCATTGAAAAAGACCAAAACAATCCTAGAGAACTACACAAGGACATCAAGTTTGAACCAGGCACTCCTGGGACGCGCCGTAGTTGGGATCAGCTTCGGATTGCCTCATCACTTGAGTGCTTCCAAAAAGAATGTTTGCCTGATTGCTTCCGTCGCAGGCATCCTTCAAACCACTGCTGTTGGTTTAAGGACAAGGATCTGTAACTGATTGTACTTGAGTATATATACGTATTTATATATATATATAGTATTTTTGTTCTTTAATGTCAGGCAATGGCAGCCATACATGACCAACCATCAAATAATTAGTTGTGTGAAAAAAGAATTAGCCCAGCTGGAGACCCCAATAGCAAGATACAAACCGGGACAACAAGAAAAATCTGGAAACAGCTGCTGTTTTCAACACATCGACCATCTCTTCCTTGGACACCATCATCACATAACCGGGACACCATCACAAAATGACCAGGGCACCATCAAAACATGACCGAGACACCGTCGCAACATGATTGGGACACCATCACAACATAACCGGGACACCATCACAAGGTGACCGGGACACCAGCATGACATGACGGGGACACCATCACAACATGACCGGGACACTATCACAACATGACCGGGACACCGTCACATGACCCGGACACCATCAAAGCATAACCGGCACACCGCCAAAACATGACCAGGACACCATCACAACAGGACCGGGACACCATCAAAACATGACCGGGACACCGTCACAACACGACCGGGACACCATCAAAACATGACCAGGACACCATCACAACATGACCGGGACACCATCAAAACATGACCGGGACACCCTCAAAACAGGACCGGGACACCATCACAACATGACTGGGACACAATCAAAACATGATCGGGACACCATCACAACATGACCGCGCCACCATCACATGATCGGGACACCATCAAAACATGACCGGGACACCGTCACAACACGACCGGGACACCATCAAAACATGACCGGGACACCATCACAACATGACCGGGACACCATCAAAACATGACCGGGACACCATCACAACATGACCGGGACACCATCAAAACATGACCGGGACACCATCAAAACAGGACCGGGACACCATCACAACATGATTGGGTCACAATCAAAACATGATCGGGACACCGGGACACCAGCATCACATGACCCGGACGCCATCAAAACATGACCGGGACACCATCCGCCCACCAGCTCTGACGGTGACCCGACGGCGCCCGTCCGCCTATTAGTTTTGCAAGACCCCATAGCATGGCTATTGGGGAAAAAACCCAAAGAAACATGAAACACATGCAAAAACACCGCAAAAAGCAAAACAAAAGCAAATAACAAAGCAAAAACAAAGCGCGACAAGAGGCAAAAAAATGCAAAAAAGGAGCCAGCTTGTGTGTTTGTCGCATTTGTTTCACTTCTTGTTGGTTTTATTTTCACTTTTGTTTGCTTGACTTTCGCTTTTGTTGCTTTATGTTCGCTTTTTCTTTGCTTTTTTCCTAGGAGCGTACAGCGAATATTGCTGACGGGTAAAAGTGTTCATAAGTGCAGAAGTGGTACCAGAAAAAGAATGCAAAAAAAACAAAACAACAACAATGCGAAAAAAAAATGCGAAAATAAAGCGGAAAACATGTGAAAATAAAGCGAAAACACAAAGGGAAAAATAACGATCAACATGCAAAGCTACAGTTTTTTGCTTTTTGTTTGCTTTGTTTTTGCTTTATTTTCAAAAAATAGTAACAATAATTATAATAAGTACTATTTTGGTTCCTGGTATCTATGGCTGGCGCGCCAAACATACGTAAGTATAGAACTTGAATCTTGTGAACACCCCTGAAACTTATGCTAAAAGCATGCCATTGTTGTCATCATGGTCCTCAAAACCCAACAAGACTCCAAATTAAAGCACCAATCGTTGCGGAAATCCAGAAGTTCAGCTTTGCTGCGAAGAGATGTCCTGTTCGAACTGAATCCGCGCAAGGTCCTCCAGTTTGACCAAAGCACGTCTATGCTGTCGGCCGCCTCACACCAGCGGGACAAGGGCTCCGAAGCTGAGGCCTCTCTCTAGAGCGGAAGTGGACTCAGTTGAACACACATTGAACCAAAGAACTGGAGAAAGATGGAATCAAGACGAATCCAGGAAGACTTCCTTTCAACGAGCTCCTCTGTTAGAGAAAATAACAGCATGGGAACGCATCGACAGGGCCCTTAAAAAAATTTGGTGATCTGCCGTGTTTCTTCCGGCGTGCTCTTGGCGTGGAGCCACTAGACTAGACGCACCAACATCGTGGCCTACTAAAAACCGTTGTCACTTAGGTGTCACAACTCGCCCAGAAAAATGGTCAGCCATGATTCAATACGTGACGGAAGCAAAAGGATTCCACGTGAACATCAGGAATCTTGCGGGTCAGGCTTCCACCTACACTGTCACTCAAAATGATGCATGCAGTACTACTAGTAACAAGGAGCTACTTGGAACAAAGGGCCTTGCTACTAGGAACAAGGACGCTATTAGTAGCTCCTGGCATTACTACTAGTAACAAGAAGCTACTAGTGCCTTTGAAGTCACCCCGCCCAAAATGCACTTCTGGCACCTCCGGGCCGTTCAATGTAGTATTCCACCCAGCAGCTGTTGCTCTGCGGGCAGGTCTCCAACTTAGGCCAAAAGCCGGGGCGTGGCGGGCAAACCCTCCTCTCATTACACAGAAAATAGGCCCCAGGAAAACAAGTTTGCTCTACGAACGCGGGCTTTCCACATTCGTGAGAAGTGTGAAAGCGCTATAGGTGAGCTGCCAAAGACAACTGACAGCTATCAGTGTCGGAAATGGGCCCAACAAACCGAAACGCCCAACAAACAAGTGGGAGTATACCTTCTTGTGCACAAGTCCGCCTGGATTAATCTTGGAATAAGCCAAACACATCCAGAGACCCATCTTAAGCTCATGACATCTGAAGAATATGGAAGAATGGTGCATCTTTCGGGAAGGCCAACCTTGTACCGAAGACAGCCGACCCAAACTCGGCAAAGAAACGACCAGCGCTTGAACATTGCCACCCTCACACCGCCGGTACCAGAGTTCGTCTCCAGCCTGCGGGCGAAGCGGCGAAGTGGAAACGAGTGAAACGTCTGCAGTTTGGACTTCGATTGAGACATGTTGCAACCTACTAGCGATGGCCTTTGTTACTAGTAGCTTCTTGTTTCTAGTAGTAAGGCCAGGAGCCCCTAGTAGCGTCCTTGCTCCTAGTAGCGATGCCCTTTGTTCCTAGTAGCTTCTTAACCTAGTAGCGATGGCCTCCAACCTACTTGAGACATGTTGCAACTCCTGGAGACAGTAGAACCCAGTAGAACTTAAAACGCTTGACGCGTCTTGATACTGCACTGTTCTCAAGTGTCTGTGCCAGCAAAAGCATTAAAGCTTCTGGCTGGCGCATAGCGCCTTGAGTTGGAAAGCCCAAGTGAACCAGTGGTTGAAGGGCATGGCGTCACAGGTGGAAGGGGCCATGTTGGCGAGAGGATTTCGGCCCTGCAACTACAATCGTTTCGTTTTCCCGTCAGTCTCGATGTCTGACATGGACCGTGTTCCATGCACCATGGACTGCCCTGAAATACCTGCGGGTGCCATGGCCCGGCTCAGCCAACAAAGTAGCATCCCTTTGAAAAGTCTGCGTACGACTCCAAGCCTCCTCAGTTCCTGCAAGCCTCTATTTCAGGTGTATATATATATATTATAGTATATAGCATTGTGACCAACACCAGCACCACTTTGACCACAAGTCTTGGCGCCCCTCGAATCACCGATTCAAGTTGGCCTTATGGAACTGTCTGACAAGGCTCAATAATGCAGGAAGCTGGACAACGTTTTCATCAAACTAGCTATGTGAGCCTCTCTGAATTTGAGTCATGAAGTTAGGGAGAAGTTGACATCAATTTCGATTCTTACTCAAAGTCGTCTGAAACTGAAACATGCCGTGTCACCACAATCTGAATCCGTGTCCCATCCTCCGGTGCAAAGGCAGCGCATGCAGCATGCATGCACAGTGCGCTTTTTCTGATCTGGCCATTTAATGGAAAGATCTGTTTGGAACCTGACAGCATCAAGTCCCTGATGCTGGCAGCAAGAGACAGGAAAACGTTGCTCAAATGCCACACAAATCGTGAGATCTGACTGTGCCTCAAAACGTAAGATCTATTTTGCTGGCAGTCTTCCCGTCTCTCGTTCTTTCGGCTAAGCTCCGACACTTGAAAAATGCTGGATGCATGATAAGGATGGGACCGAAGGACAAGAAACCCAGAAAACAAAATGGTTCTTCTGACAAAGGAAAGGATGTCTTGCGTGGTTTTGTCTCCCGGACTCCCACTGGACGAAAGATTTGGAGTTGTCATGATTTGCTGAGCCAACAGAACCACCACCCCTGACAGCAGCTCCGCCCTCGGGCTGGTTGGCTGGGTGGAAGATAGCCGGGAGCCTAGGCAGCGGTAGTCAGTAGAGCCGGTAGAGGACACATGACGTGCATAATTATATGCCTCAAAAACTGTGCAAGCTTGCGTGGTGACTGAAGCATGCGCGCCTTGCCAACTGCTGGGAACTATTGAATGCATGAAAGTCAAATCAGTGGTCCTTTGTTCCTTGGAACGCATGCCATACAATCAAAAATGAATATCCACTTGGGTCCTGCTCGTTCACGTTTGATGTGCGCTGTTGCCTGGCTGCCTTTTTGAAACCAACAGATTCTTAGGCCTCCGGGCTGTGTTCGACTGGCTGGCTATTCCCTGCAAAGAAGACGGCTTTGGGCTACGGCCTACTGGAAGGAGGCCTTCTTTTGTGGCTGTGCCATGCTGTGCCATGTGATTATCGATTTCAGTCGAATAATGATGCAATATCCTCACCCTGTCTAGCACTTCAGGATAGATGAAGAGTTGTTGTTTCTCGCACGCTCGAGGGTTGGGCAGCCCTGCGTGAGGGCCAGAGGCTCGACTTTCTCGGATCGGAGGTCCCTGGGAGCAAATGAAGCGTTGGGAGACAGCACACCAGGCAGAAAATCAGTGCCATCAGCATCAGCGCAATGAGTCAAAGAAGAACCAAAGGCGGTGTCAGGCTTCATCATCTTTCATCCAAGCTTCCCCAAAGCCGTCCCATGCCGCATCATGCGTCGTTGTGCCATGTGGAACATTGTGGAACGCAAGTCTTTGGGATCTGGGACTCCAGTTCTTGTTGAACATCCAGTCAGATCCGAAAGAACACAAGCTCACTGATGCTTTGAGAGGCCGGAGGTATTTGTTCGGTACTTCCTTCCATATCAGCAAGGGCCGCAAGGGTTTCCTCAAGGTCTTTTGTTCCATCATGTTCCATCCTGTGAGGTCTCATGTTCCTCGTGCGGACCATCGAAACCCACGCGTACGATCTGAAGAGCGCACCCAATGGCTCCAGACTGCGGGCCCTTGCGTCCTCCGCTCCTGAGGGAAAGGGATCTGGTTGGGAAAGCCCAAGACCTAAGATTACATCAATGACTTTTAATCCTAAGACCTAAGACCTAATACATCCTAATACCTATCATGTTATCCTCCCATCAATGACTTTTGATTTGATTGTCCCGCCGCGCTGTGTGCCGCATCTGTCAAACACAAAACCTAAAACCTACGCTGAGCCGCAGGCGAAGCCGATAAATTGCTTTTGGACCGTAGGCTCCTGACACGATGTGACGGAAGAAGAACGCAAGTACACGCATCGGCGAAGAAGAAAACTGCGGAGTCTTTTTGGGGCATCCAGTCTACCAGGAACACCCTAACAACCATGTGGCCCTTACGAGAAAATATTGGCGCTTACATCATGCGATTCACCCCACCACGGCTGAGGTCGCAGCGATGGGCCCGGAAGACCTGACGCGATGAGGCTATGAGTGCCGAAGAAGTACGGAAGTACGTACAGTAGTCACAAAGGTGTCCGACATGTATTCCTCGAGCAATATGTCAACCTCAAGGCTCATAAGGGCTTGTGGAAGCTTCACATGCACACGTGGATCTGTGTTGAAAGCTGTCAAAACACGAACAGTGGAATGAACTAACACAAATGAGAATCGCAGTCCTATAAAACATGACTGAAGAAGGCAAATAGGCAAAGCTCAGGATTCAGGATCAAAGGTGTGTTGCTGTTCGCTTCCTATCAGAGGGCATCAAATCGCTCCCCGCCACGAACACCAAACCAGACTCCTGAGAGACTCTGTCATAATCCCCCGTCTTGTTCAATATCTGCTCGCAATTCCGTGAGGCTCTGTCCACTCTGAATACTCTGGTGTTCGGAATGCTCACCAAAGCTTCTACAACTATAATGAGGAGTGATAAAGTGAGTGCTAATGATGCGTCCAAATACATCAAGTCCAAAGGTCCAAAGGACCCTCGAGTCCAAGTAACGTTTGGCGGTGCTCAGGTCATGACTTTTCATGGACTCTTTGTTTTCGATGGCATTTTGCCGAGAGGCACCTAGGTACACAAAGGATATACCAAAGGATCACAAAGCTACCTAGTAGGATCTAGTAGGAACTTCTACTCATGCCACGCTTGCCCTCCATCGAATCAACCACAAAGACGTGATGCCATTCAAGCAGGATCCTAAATACTAAAACCCTCGTTGATCCTTTCCTCAACGATGTGCAGTGTGCAGACCCTGGGTTTCTTGGAGGTTGGATATGATTCCCTCTTTGTTATCCCATCCAGCTTTGAAAGTGTTCAGTGAGAATTCAAAAGCTGAAAATATCAGTCGTCCATACCCGATTTTCCACGCTGCTCCCAAGGCCCGGTCTGCGCACTGCATCCCTGGCGAGGCATCTGAAGGTTGAAGGCCATCCTTTAGGGGTTGGAAACAGGACATGCAATCTATCCGACCTTACCTTGACTAGGGAAGAGAGAACAAAACATATCCTATCAACCAAATCCAGAAACTTCGTCCATCTCCTCCCTCTTGGTCGGCAATGCCGCTTGGGGATCTCGCCAGGGCAAATGCATTTCCCAAGCGCTGAAATAAGCTAAATGGTCATAAAGGCACCCAGTAGGAGCCTTCCAAACACCTGTTTTTTGCAGCTCGTTCCTTCTATGGTCCATTTTATGGTAGATTCAGATTCTATGATTTCCCGTTTCGGCCCGTTTCGGCCTCAGAACTCCCCTCTGTGAACCCTTCTCGGCCCTTCTCAGCCCCTCCGGTCGCGCTTCAAGGCGGTTGCACTGATGCTGCGCTTCATGGTCTCTTGAGGTGTGCCATCACCACCTTCAGCAACGCTGACTAATTACAGTGGTTCTTGTAGGCCTCACAGCTGTTCATAGCCAACACAGTATTTTCACTGGAAAGTCAAGGCCCAGATCGCCAGCTTCACCGGTTGGGCTGACCGCGAATGGCTGGAAGTGATAGGGATATATATATATATATACCATAGCTGTCATAGCTTTGGTATTCTAAGAGGTATATAGGTGCAAAATGTGTTCAAACAATGTGACATTGGGTAGGTGCTCAGCATTGAAGGACAAGCACCTCATGCAAATCTGAGCTTCTGACTGCCCTGCGACAATGCCGGCTGCATTTTCTGCCCTTGGATTTGTCAGCTTCAGGTATCTGCCAAGGAAAACGTTGAATAGCATCGTACAAGTATGGCTTCAGAGTCATCTGGAAACCTCTTATGTCAAAACGTCCTATGCTGGAGGGTCACATACAGTGCAAGAACACTGTAGCCAGGCCGGGTTGTCGGTATTCTGTTGAGGGTACGGGCTGGCTTGTGTAAGAAGCATCAGAATACATCCTTGGCAAGTGTATATAAGCTCCTCCAAGAAGATTGGATTGCTGGAAAGGATACAGGAACCTGACAAAGTCATCATTGCAAAAACCCATGGAACGCTGGTTCTAAAACAGTATGGTGTTGATTGATTTACATCCGCTTGCTGCATGTCATGGGCTTGCTGCATGTCCATGTCCATACCTCAATAAGAGTGATGACATTGTCTTATGCCACTGTATGAAAGGATGGGAATGGGCCCTCTGTATATAATGAGAGTGGGCCAACTATGCATACAGGTGAACCCAAACCAACTCGCCCAAATGAATGCACCAAACCAGGGTCACCAAGAGCACCAGGTCTTCTCATGTCTGTTTCTAAGGCTCCAGACTGGAGACGGTCCTTGATGGCTTCGAGCCTGACCGGAGCACAGGCAGGGCGAGTCTTGGGCCATGTTCTTTCAACGGATTGGGGTCAAAAATGCTCAAAAGGCCTGTCAACATAATTCAACATCTTTCAGTATCAGATTTGGTTCCAAAGGGGTCAACGTGATCCGCAGATCTTTGGGTCAATGTGTATCTTGAAAAGAAAAACCGGCCGGTCTTCCGTCCTTCAGCCCTTCCGAGGTTACATTCATCGACTCCAACGTGCGAAAAAAGTGTCCAACATCGTTGCCCTACCCCCGGAGCTGTTCTCCGGACCACTAAAAAAACGACGCATGGGAAAACGAGCACACCTGGAGTTCTTGGAGACCCATCAGAGCCTCC